GGGGGGGGGGAGGCAGTGAGCCTTAAACAGCTGGATCCACCAATTAAACCAGGTCTAATGGTGGGGTGCGTTATTGGCCAATTTCACACCCAAATTTGCTTGGAGACAAGGAAAAAAACCCCTATTTTAGTCAATTTCACCCCAAAATTAGCTAGAAGGGGGAAAAAACCTCATTTTAGTCAATTTTGGGATGAAATTGACTTTAAAAGTTGTTTTCTTCCCCCTTTTAGCTAATTCTGAGATGAAACTGACTAAAATTATTTTCCCCGACCTAGCTAATTTCACCCCAAAATTAGCTAGAAGGGGGGAAAATCCAATATACTGTGGTCAATTTCACCTCAAAATTAGCTAAAGGAGAAAAATAACTTATTTTAGTAATTTTCACCCCCAAATTAGCTTGAAGCCAATTTATTTTTATCTAATTTCACCCTGGGTTTAGAAAGCAAGGAACCAACACACATTTAACCAATTTCACCACACAATGAACCAACTGGTTCATTTGGTTATAAAACTGTTGGTCAGTTTTATAACCAAATTAGCTGGAATCCAACTAACTAATGTATTTGTAGTCAATTTTCCACCAAAATTAGCTTGAAACCAAGACGCCAACTTGCTATGGAGCTTGAAGAGAACCAAGCAACCTGTTTTTAGCCAATTTCACACCAAAAAAGGCTAGACTGGAAGAAACCAGCATGTTGGTGGTCAGTTCCACATCACAATTAACCAGAGGGAAACTAATCAACTTGTCTTTAAGTCAGTTTCACACCAAAGAGCTGGAAGCTCAGGGCACCAACCTGCTTTTAGCAAATTTCACGCCAAAATGAGCTTGCAGAGAATCAGTCAATCCATTTTTAACCCAATTCCACCCCGCCGCCCCCCCAATCAGCTAAAAGGAAAAGAAATCAACTTTCCTGCTAGTCAATTTCACGCCAAAATTAGCTGGAAGGGAAGGAATCACCTCATTTGTACCCAGTTTCACACCAAAAGCAATCGTAGGGCCAATTTATGCTTAGCTAGTTTCACCCCCAAATTAGCTGGAATCCAACGAACTATTTAGCATTGGTCAGTCTCACAGCACAACAAGCCTAAAGGGAACAAATCAACCAGGTGTTTTTTTAGCCAGTTTCACACCAAAATAACAAGAAGGAAACAAGAGGATGTATCTTTAGTCAGTTTCACATGCAAATTAGCTGGAATGGAAGGAACCACCATCCTATTTTTACCTAATCTCATTTTACCAAAACTTAATTTTACCAAAATTAGCTCCAGGCCAATTTATTTTTAGCTAATTTCAAACCAAAAATTAGCTCAGATCCAACTAGCCAATCTGTTTTTAATCAATATTTGCACCAAAATGAGCCTGAGGAGAAGGAACCCGCTTATTTTTAGTAAATTTCCAGCATACATTAGCTTGAAAAGCAGGAGTCAACCTGTTTTTGTTTTTTTTTAGTCATATTTCACAACAAATTAAGCCTGAACAAAAGGAACCAACCTGTTTTTAGCTAATTGAACATTCAAATTAGCTGGAAGGAAAAGAATGAATTTATTATCAGTCAATCTCACATCACAATGAGCTGGAAGAGGCCAAATCCATGCGTTTTTAGCTAATTTCTTGCCAAAAGGGGCTAGAAGGGAAGGGCCCAACTTACTGTAGTCAATTTCACTCCAAAATTAGCTGGAATCCAATGAACCAATTTATTGTTAGTTAATTTCAAACCAGAATTAGTTAGAAGGAAACCAGATCCAATGGCATTTGATAGGCAATTTCCCACCAACATGAAGGGCTTTGACCTAAAAATCAAACTGGCTCCAGGGGCCTTCATTGGGGGAACTGGAGTCAAACTGGTTTCAGAATTAAACTGGGTTTGGAGGATTTGACTGGAGGGAAGCGGAGTCGAACTGGTTGGGGGGGGGGTGTTACCAGGGGGAACTGGAATCACAAGGGTCTGAAAGGCTTTGATTGGGAGAACTGGAGTCAAACTGATTTCAGAATGAAATCAAAGTGGTTTGTGACTTGAGGGAAGTGGAGTCAAACCAGTTTGAGGGTTCTGGGTTGTTTTTTTTTAACTGGTGAGAACTGGAATCAAATGGGTCTGAGGGGCTTTGATAAAGAGAACTGGAGTTAAACTGGTTTTAGGGGCTTTGATCTGGAATCTAACTGGTTTGTGGGGTTTTCTTTTACTGGGGAAAGGGCAGTTAAATTGGTTTTGGGAGGGGGATCTTGACTGCAGAAGCTGGTGTCAAACTGGTTTTAAGGATTTTGATCTGGAGTCAAGCTAGTTTGAGGGGCTTTGACTGAGGGAACCAGAATCAAATGGGGCTCAAGGACTTTGACTGTTTCAGAGTCTTTGATCTGGAACCAGACTGGTTTGAGGGGCTCTCACAGGGAGGAAGAGGGGCCAAGCTGGTTTCAAGGGCTCTGACTGGGGGGAACTGGAGTCAAACTGGTTTCAGGAGCTTTGATTTGGAATCAAGCTAGTTGGGGGGGTCTGGACTACGGGAAACTGGTTTGAAGGCTTTTGATCTGAGGGGCTCTTACTGGGAGGAACTGGAGTTACACTGGTTTGAGGATTAGGCATCAAACTGATTTGTGGGGGTTTCTGACTAGTTTCCAGAGCTTTGGTTTGGAATCAAACTAGTCCCAGGGGCTATGGCTGGGCGGGGGCGGGATTCTCAATGGTCTCAGAGCTCTGATCCGGAATCCAACTGGTTTCAGGGGGTTCGCACTGGGAGGAACCAGAGTCAAACTGGTTTTGGGAACTCGGGCAGCCTGAGCCGAGCACGAGGGAAGGAGGCGGCGCGGGAGCGGGCTGGGCGGATGCAGGAGCCGCCCGGGGAGCGGAAGCCTTGGCTCGCACTTCTCCCTGCCCCCCGCCCCACCCCAGCCT